CCCGACCTCAAACCATCCTCTAAACCCGACCTCCCAATCACAAGGATTACAGGAGTGCGCTACGCTCCCAGTCGATAGTTTTGTGCACAAAAATAACTTACATAACTTTTACAAAAAAAAATTAAAATATACTTTTTGTACCACTATTATTTAATTTTGTATGATCATATAATTTTAGATATATTGCGGTTTTTTTTCTGATTGCATCTTTACAATAAGAAAACTATATCTTTTAACTTATTTTCTCAATGATCTTAAAATGTTAAAAAAAATATACAATTTAAAACTAATTTTAATATTTCTTGTGCTGCCTAATAAATACTTTAAAATTATATTTATACCTAAAATACAGGACTATGGCCACATGCACTTTCGATATATTATAACTTTTTGGTTCTTTGTATTTGATAGAGAATGGGCTATGCTAAGGGTTTTCGCCTCTTTCAGCCTTCAGATATTATACATTTGATATGTTATTAGATGATCGTGGTGCAAAGAGTACTTAGAAAATTTCCATTTAAAACTAATTATATGATTCATGTGTTGCCTATAATACAATTGTCCTAACGATGTTATGTAACAAACATGTTATGACATCATTTATCAAATGAAGAAGTAACAAAATGATATAAATATTTAGGTTTATAGTTGTTATAGGTTTGATAAAAGGATTAGGTCTGGTTGTATTGGTCAGGCTGTTACAGGGTTCCAACTCCCGGGCGCGATCCCACTACTGCACAACGCGGAGACTTTTGGCTGCTGGATTTCTCCTCTGGCCCGGTTCGCCTCTCCTTAGCCAACCTGGCCACCCCGGACTCCTCCAGGGTGCCCATATCGACGCCGAGCTTAGTGTGGACACCTAGTCAACGTTGGAACACCCTGCACCAGGACTCCCGACCTCAAACCATCCTCTAAACCCGACCTCCCAATCACAAGGATTACAGGAGTGCGCTACGCCCCCAGTCGATATTTGTGTGCACAAAAACGCAATAGAGATAGCATCAATTATTAGTACACTATAACCCGTTTTTAAATCATATGAAATAGTTACATTTTAATTTTCTAATATAAATTTAATGTTCTAAATCATCTTGCAATAGAGAAATATTCAACGTCTGAAGAAAACAATTTGGTTTGAATAAAATAAAAACCATCAAGAAGAAAGTAGCTGCAATTAGAAAATCAAAGTTAAGTGCTAAATCGTATTCATACATAAGCGATATTATCAAAATTTAAATGAAAAAGGTACTGATACTATTTATAAGGTGACTAATCCTTCTTTTGTAGGTTCTGTCGGTTCTGTCCTTCTTAGGAAAGTGTCCTTCTACCTGTCTTTCTTTGCAATATTTTCGAAAGAAATGCCTGATATTAAAATAGATGACAATTATTTGTTTCAAGTAATTAGAAAACGAATATATATTTAAATTCTAACAATTTCAATTGTTAAGATTGAACGCTGATACTCTAGCTGCAGCACTTAGAGAGTAAAATTCAATATGAAGCATATTTCTTCCTCCGAAATTTCCTGTTAGTTAGTTAGTTTGTTAGAAAATGATAAATTTACAAAAAATATTCATTTAATAAAAAAATACTAATTAATTAATTAAATATTTAATTTATCTACGTTGTACCTTTTTCTTAAATATTTTCGTCCTCCTTTTCATTGTAAAATATTGGTCACCTTACTAATTATAACATAGAATATGAAAATAAAACTAATTTTTTCGATGACAAGAATTAATCTTCTCATTTTTCATATTTATTGTATATAACAGGGGTGGCCAGACTTTTTGCAGCAAGAGCCGCACCTAAACTTTTTTGTATAATAATTTTAAAAAAATCTCAGTCATAATATAAAATATATATAATATTTCTGTTTTGTTGTGGCTCAAATATCCACAACAAGACTCTTGAGTATAATGTCTATAACACTGTTTCCCAATTGTTGTACAGCGCAAAAATTTGAATATAAATATCCTGATTATGGAATTCCTGTCCTAGACGGCTTATTTATGCTTGTAAAGAGTTCCTGCATCTATTTATGCTTTTGAGGTGTGTCCTGATGTAAAAAATGTTGAGAAGCACTGAACTACAATTATAACATTGCCCACATATTGCATAACTTCTAGCAATTTAATATTTGTATTGAATCGAAATACTTAACAACCTAATAGATGTATAAGATATGCGAGAAATGTATTAATCATTTCAAATTAACAAAAATATGCAATATATTCATAATTTATAAAGAATAACAATTTTTTTTTGGTGTTGGTAGCAATGATTCATCACACTAACAAACCGTGTTATGCAGGTTATGAGCAGCGTGCTTGTTTCTTATTGTTGCATTCGTTGTTGATTCACCGTTGTGAAATAAGCTGTAACTAGTAAAATTTAAGTTTAATCGTTAAATCCGTACAAATTTCTAAAATGGCTCTCCGTGTGCAATTCGAGAACAACAATGAAATCGGCGTATTCTCTAAACTCACAAATTCATATTGTTTAGTAAGCATTGGAGGCTCTGAAAACTTCTACAGGTATATCCATTATATTAACAACCATGTTTACAAATATTTATTGTTATCTTACTTTGCCTTTTGCAGCACTTTCGAAAGTGAACTTTCAGAAAATATTCCAGTTGTGCATGCATCTCTGGCTGGATGCCGTATTATAGGCAGAATGTGTGTGGGCAATAAGCATGGCCTCCTCGTGCCCAACTCCACATTTGACACAGAATTGCAACACATTAGGAATGCGCTTCCAGACACTGTAAAGGTCCAGAGGATAGAAGAGAGGCTTTCTGCTCTCGGCAATGTTATTGCCTGCAATGACTATGTGGCTTTGGTCCATCCAGAATTAGATAGGGTAAGTAATATTGTGCAATCTTCAAATTATTTTATTGTTTGAAAATTAATGATTGTTTTGTTGTTTGCAGGAAACTGAAGAGATTATTGCTGATGTATTGAAGGTAGAAGTATTCAGACAAACCATTGCCAGCAATGTGCTGGTGGGATCTTACTGTGTATTGAGCAATCAAGGAGGATTGGTTCATCCACAAACTAGTATAGCTAATCAAGAAGAGTTATCTTCACTTCTTCAAGTACCTTTGGTGGTAAGTCTCAGCTTGACAAGTGAAAGATGAGCAAGTTTTTACTATATGTTTTTGTTGTTTTATTTCAGGCTGGAACTGTAAACAGAGGCAGCGAAGTTGTTTCAGCTGGAATGGTCGTAAACGATTGGTGCGCTTTCAGCGGCATGGACACCACTTCCACAGAGCTTCAGGTGATAGAATCAATCTTCAAACTGAACGAAAACGCGCCATCTTCTATAACCAGCTCGATGAGGGCGAGTCTTATTGAAAGGTAAATAAACCACATCAATCCTTCATGACATTAATTATATTAATTCGTTCTATTTTCAGCATGTCGTAAATGAAATTAATAATCAAAGGAAAACGAGAAACGAAAAAAACTCTTGGATGGATTCAAATATAAGACATATGGTTTTATGTAAATACGTTATGCTTAAATATATTTTTTTTCATATCCAGATTATTATACTTTATCTAATCCAATCCAATTCATGTTGTTATTATATAATACTTATTATATCCAGTATGTGAATGTGTGCTTCTTTCTTGCACACATTTTAACGTTCTGCCTTTCAATACCCCTATTTTGAAGGGCAGGGTTTTTTCCGTTAGGAAGTTTCTTAATATTTAGTTAATGAAAGGATATTTTTGTTTTCAATATATATAAGATAAGTAATAATTTCCAGAAGAGAATTATTAATATTAGTAATTTTCAGAACCTGTTGCATCAGAGCAATATCAGGGCTTCTATTTGAAAAACAAAATCCAAATATAAACCCAGGCCTATATTTGGTTGGGACTCTTATCGAAAAAAAAAAAACCCGGTAGGAAAATCAATAATCCAGGGCATGTGCCGTGATCTGCGACGCAACATATGTTATTGCCATGACACAGTCTGCATGCTTATTCAGTTCGCTTAAAACAAACCCCTTGTTTGTATAACATTACTTGTTTTGTAACAAGGAAATAAATACCGGTAACGTTTTACGCGTGATTCGGTGGTGTTTGACCGCATACTGGTTTTGGTTTGTTGCCATTAAAAGAAAGAAAAATGTCCAATTATCCTGGAATGAGTTTGGGTAGTGAGATCCGGGAGAGCATATCCTTGGACGAGGATGATATGAGCGATGTCGAGGATGAGGTGTTCATCAGGGATGGAAAGAATGGGTACAAGGTAATGAAGGAAGGGTTCGTTGCAGATAAGAGAAACCCTATGACCTTGATTTAATGTTTTGAAACGGTGAATCATAATACAAACACGACACGTACAAATATTTCCAAATAATATCAATAAATTAATCTGAAAAAGTATCTACTAGTATTTATAAAAAAATGTATCTAAACATAGATTTTATGAAATCATAGTATTCCTAATAGACATATGCTAAATTCTGCTGCAAAATTGCGCAATATGAAGATTTAATGCTTAATATTTATATGTTACACGGATTGCGAAACATTGTCTTTAGAATATTAAAACGATTGTAAATGTTTCAATAAATTGATAAAACATTATTTATACTAAATATTTACTAATTTGGGCCTAACTACCAATATTCACATCTGTAAAAATTAAAACAGAAATATTACATATAGTTTGCTTCCTATAAACTCGAATAGGGTTTTAACTATATGTGTAAATATATGGAAAATAGTGGAGCTTTCGTAAACACCACTTGTTGTACACATTTCCAATAATAGAACATTTTGATTGACGGAAATATCCGGTTGCTATAATTTTATACTGAACTATTGAATGTGTAAGTAAATTGCTTCAATATACACGAAAAATACATAAATATAATATTACATATTTAGTTCGCACTTAGATATTAATAAATATTTGATTACAATGATTATATAATATGATGAAATAATGATGATCTTTTAATTTGTTGCAAACATTAATAGTTAAGTTATATGTTATTGACTGTTATTATTGTTGTATAATTTAATGTTTGGTTTCTTTGTTCTAATCAAGTTTGCTGAAGATATTGGCGTGAAGCGACCTTTGATGGCGCCGAGAAGAAAACTGACAAAGCCAGATTTCAAAACGAGACTGAAGAATCGTCCGCCGTGCAGAAAGATGTGCAAACCCTTCTGCTTCGTAATTGGCACACTCTTGGCCATTATTGGTAACTAGAACGAATTAAAAACAAAACTGTTAGTTATACCGATAGGATTTTAGGATTAATAACGTTAATCGTCGTAATCGTATCGATGTTTCCACTCCCCATTGATAAAATAAAAGATTGGATAGTGACGAAAGCGCAGAAGAACGTGACTATGAAAATGTTGCCATGCAGCGATTTAAAAGTTACGGACGTTTGGGCTGTAACTTTACCGAAGTTGACGTCCGATTCGTCGATTAGGACGCTAGATGTTAACGGGGATGGAGTAGAAGATCTGATTTTCGGATTTGGAACTGGTAGAAACAAAACTATTTAGGATTGGATGTATTGATTGAGAGTAATGTTTGTTGAAGGTGATAATAGCGTTTTGCACCATGAGGTGTTTTGTCCCATGTTCTTGGGCATAGCTAGTCCTTGCGGTGGCGGAGTCATAGCTTTGGATGGAAAGAACGGCTCAACTTTGTGGAGGAATCATTTACCTCACGCGATTTTTACATTATTCTGTAGCGCCGATGTTAACGGTGATGGCATCTTCGATTGCTTAGCCACCGGTAAAGGAGGTGTAAGTTCTTCAAAATTGATCGAAACCAGAGTATTTAAATTGGATTTCTTGCAGATATTTATAACTATTAATTCGAGAGATGGAACTACAATCTGGGTATTCCAGAATAAGGATGAGGACGTTAATTTGATAATGGATATTTACGCGGCGAATTTCATACCCGATCAGGATTCCGATAAAGTTATGGATATCCTAGCATCACATACAATGCAAAAAGGTAAATATTCTATTAATATTTTAACACTCTCTTAAACGTTTTATTTTATGCTTAGATCGTCAGCGAACTGGGCAACTCCTCGTGATTTCCGGTAAAACCGGCAACGAAATACAAAGGATGTCCACGCCGTACAACGCGGAAACTTACAGCGTTCCTCAATTGCTTCCAAAACCCGATGATTACTACGTGCTGTTCGGGACTGGAAGTCCAAGTTCTCCTGGGAACTTATCAGTAATTTCTCTTAAGAGTTTTATGAGCGGAAACGCAAGTTTCGTTACCATTTACGAGGATAAGTTCAAAGGTATTCTATCGCCATCAGTTATGTACGATATTAATGGTGACGGTCAACTGGACGTAATATCAGCGATGTTCAATTCCACCGTAATCGCTTTCGATGGGAATAGTTTCAAGCAAATCTGGAGTTTCACTGTTAATAATTCTGAGACGTTGAGCGTCCCGACGCCGGGTTTCTTCAATGATGATAACGTCGTCGATTTCCTTATTAAATATCAAACTGGACCAGAATTTCCAGTTTACTATTACAGCCAGGTAACTTTTAATTTAAGTTTTTAGTATTTATTTTTTTAATGATTTAAAATGTAGGTTTACATATTGGATGGGAAAACTGGGAAAGTTATTTATGATAGAGCGATTGTGGATAGCGTTGGTTCTCAGATGGGTGGATTAACCATGGGAATGGAAGGCCCAGGAAACGATTTCTTCCTTTATTGGTTGGCCGATTGTGATAAGTACGAGGGAAAGCAGGATATTTACGAATTCCTACCAGGAAGTACGCTGAAGGAGCAAAGTAACTCCGATATTTGTAAATTAAGATTCAACTCTACTAAAGTTACTAAACTGTATGCTTTAAATCAGTACGATCAACCTCCTGGAATTGAAATTTACAATTCAGGTAATAATAAAATTACTCATTTATCCAGTGTTTAAATTTAATTTCGTTCCATGGTAAAACAAATAGGAAATAGAACTAGCTTAGAATATAATAACACAAAGTCGGCAATGGAAGAAGCGACTGAGTATTTGAAGAAACATCCGGAAGTGCAAACCGGTGAAGTCGAGGAGACCTTTAAGCAAGCCCCGGAACCCCCAAAGCAGATTGTGTATAAAGACAACTCGCCGTTCAGACACAAAGACAATAATCTAGGTTTAATTAAAGATTACAACAAACCGGAGCACCCGAAGCTCTCCGCTAATCCTGTAATTAATCGTAGTTCTTTGCATTTGATAAATCGCCTTTTACATTTTCTTTGCTTCAGCCTGAACAGAAATTCGAGCCGGATTACGATCAGCAACCTGAGATGTGGCAACCGAAGGTGGCTTATCCTCAGAACTATCAACCGGATGAAATCGATTACACTTCTTATTTGGACGATGCTGAACCGATGAACGCATATGGTAAACAGTATATGGAGGATAACGCAGCGAAAGGTAATCGCGACACGAGAGGAGATGAAGATACGACGAGGACTACGAAAAAATTAGCGGATAAAAGGTACGGCGTGTACGATTACAGGAATATCGAGCAGTCGAAGAACAGGCTGTTGCATAATCTGAACGAATTGCCGACGGATATTCTGAAGGACACGTACTTGAAGAACATGGAGCAGCAGTTGCGAAAATCACGGTTCGAGCAGCGAGATTTGCAATCACACATCGATAAGATGAAGGAAAACGCAGAAGTTAAACGAGTTCTGGACGAGGAAAAGGAAAAGATGTTGAATGTGTCCGAAAATCTGTGGACTTTGGAGAGCGAGAAGGAAGCCGAAGATCGGAAGAACGGTTTGTGGAGGGTCAAGCGCGAAGCGAGCAGCGTTATCAAAGGTATACCGAGGATAACTTCAGTTGGTGAGTTTACTAAATCATAAATTATAATAATTATATTGAATTGTAACAACTATTTTAGGAAGCCAGGTAAAGCCTCTTGTTCCCAATACCAACGCAATCGATTTGGTTTTCTTGACCTACTGGACACCTCCCAAAGACGGGCCTCAATTGCTCGTCCAAAAAGACTACGAATGTATCACGGAGAAGATTAAGAAAGCTTTAAATTCTAAAGGTGAGTTTTTATTAATATATATTTATCATCGTTTAATCATCTTCTTCGTAGAGGAGATTCTGAACTACGAGAAGGCCGCTTTGGAGGAGCTTTTCAAGAAGGAATGCTTGACGGATCGCGGCGTCCCTTTGAACGTCCATCCAATTAGCCCAAAGCCTTATACCAGACCGAAATTCCCGTACGCCAATGAAATAGCTCAGCTGAATCTGGGACAAATGACCGTTTACAGGATACGAGTGGAATGCGTTTGCGAGGTGCGCCGAGGGAACGAGAGATGCGCGAAATTCATTAACCCGGAAGAGGGTCACGGCTGGGCCTCGTACATGGGAAAAACGGGAAGCGGAATTTTCCAATAATCTTATTTTGCACGGATACATACACGTCTTAACTAATTTACTTATTCAGATGACTTAAATCAAAGTTATTTAGTGCAAAAAGACAATCTGTATATATACATATGTCGAGGATGATTTAATTTCTTCGAAGTATTTTCGATTCCTCATTGAGGAAGCTTTTCGGTGCGTTTGATGCATAACGGTGTATTCACCTATATAATATTTTGAAACAGGATTAAGGCTTCCAATGTATCCTCAAGTGTACCCTCCTCCAAATGGGTACAACTGTACCTTACGTTAATCTAACCTGTATAGTGATCATGAATTTACCCTTTCTTTATATGTACAAATATACATTTACGGCTTAAATTATCAAGTATAAAATACGCTTGGAAAATGTGTCTTTCGTTTCGTGTTATTGTAATTACATTTCAGTTATTTTTTCGTTTTCTATTATAAATCGACTGTTTTTAGCTCGAAATATTCGTGTCACTTCAATTGCGAACGATTGAAGGAAATCAAGTGAATTAGTTCAAACTAGTTAACATGTAATGAAAATATATATATTTTTAAATGTTAAAATCTAAACCAAGCTGATAAGTCAACCTTTCTGCTATAAATCAATTATATTGTTTCTTAAATAACTTTACTTTATTCAATTTAAACCCTTCCTTTTTATCCATACATTATCAAACCTTTTTTTCTAAAACCATAAAATAAATATTCTTCAATCAAATACCCGGCGTATCCACCAAATATGTTTTAATATTCAAAGATTTTTTTTTAAAATTTCTACAAGATATAATTCAAATTATTAAATTCATAAATCTTAGTAATTAACTAACTGAAATAAAGTGTTTGTTATTTTCCTCGATTATTTATCGACCTAACAACCAAATTTCAAAAGACTGACGTTTATTACTGTCAGTTAGGGGTTTATTACGTCTGGAACGGGTTTCAATAATATCTTTGTTATTGGTATATTTTACTAAATAATATACTGTGAAAACACGTAAGGTAATTGGATTTTAAGGAAAAATGTCGTCTACAGTGAAAGCAAGCAGACCCAATGATTATATGTATGGTAAGTCCACTATTCAATTTGATTAAACACATATAAAAACGGTTTCTTGATCATAATTTTTAAATTAGATAATGTAATAATTATTTTTTATAATACTTAATTTTGTTTATCATTTATACAGGAAAGTATATCTAATAATATGATCATTTTATTAATGTCTCGTTACAGATTCTGCGTTTATTGTTTCTGGATCAAAGGATTACTACAAGCATGCGGTTAATTCAAAAATGTCTGAGGCGAAATATGTATTTTACTAAAAAAAATTCTTCCACATCAAATTAATTATTATGATTCTTTTAAGGCGATTTGTCCCATATTTCCAACTATGTTTTCTGATATGCAAAATTATCCTAGAAAGCAGTACGTGATGAGGACTATCGGTCCTATACCTCAATACGAGCCCAAAACGCAGGATAGCAAATTCCCAGTAAAGGGAATATTATCAGGTGTTGATAGATACAAATATTATCATAAGTACAAATACTTGTTTACCTTTTATATTGTCCAATTTTATTGTCGTTCAATTGTAGTGCAGTTGTCCCAGAACCTTCGGAGGTTGAGGTTCCTAAATTGGATATGAATTGTTTCTATGATATTGATGAGGAGAAAGAGAAGGTTGTGGAACAATCTAAAACTGCTGGCAAGAAGAAAAATGTTACTGTGCAAACGATGTACAGGGAATCGTCGGCGCAGACTTCTCCTTGGCAGCCGAACTTCAAAGTGGTTGAAGGAGACCCTGAACTGTTAAAATTGGATTTCCTGAAGTGGGGTAAATCGATCATTTGAGAAAATTTACAAATTGTGATGTAATTTAATTAAAGGTAGTGGTCTGCCAGTGGGTTTTCATGAAATAAGTTTGATCGAAAGAGCTAGGATGAAACGGTCTTGGATGAAGCCAGGAGGACCGATCACAAGTATCAAAGCTAGGACCGTGGCGATCGAGGAAGTCGAAAGAAACGAATGGCTCTTTCGTGAACAGGTGATGATGTTAGATTTGTTGATGTTTAAAAGTAAACTGTAATGCTTTTAGGAGATTCAAGATGTCCAAAATCTACGGATGGAATTGCTAGAGCAGATGCTCAGCGAGATTCAGAAAAAGTCCAAGTGTCGGAATGAGAAGAAAATGAGAAATTTCTGTGATATAAAGATTAAAGAGAAGCAACAGAAATTGGATGCTTTGCACAAAAATCGTGATAGAGGTGATTGTTGAACATGTTAAAATTATTGTATTTCTTGTTGTTTTCGTAGAGATGAGACGTTTGGAGTTGAATTACAAGGGAATTTTAACGAAATACGGGCATGTGAATGTGTTTGATGAAATCGCCGATTACAAATCGGAATTGTACATGCCTTTGATCCGGCACGGATCAAATCCCAAGTACGGTCATCAAGTCATAACGAAATCTTTGAGGAATTATAAACCGCAATATTTTGGAGTGGAATTGTACGATACTATGCCTGATGGATTGACGAAGTGTCCTAAAATCAAGAATCTTAAGCTTCCCGGTGCAAGGCTTTGCCCGCGCGAAACCAAATGGACGGCGCCTATTTTGAAGAACTTGCATAAAGAACTGAAAAGTGGGTATTTACTTGATCAGAACGTATTAATTGAGTATACGATTTGTAGCTTTGGTTGATGAGGGGAAGAAAACTGTATCGCTGAGAGTTCGCATCGAAGAAACGATTACAGGAATGCTTACACCGGAGATCGAACATGTCAGCGATGAGGAAGAAGCTTTGTATCAACACAGCGTGTTCATCCAGAAAGTTCTGCGCGGGAGAGCCTCTCAAATTTCGGTTTGAATGATCATTTATGTTGACAGTTTTAATTCGAGTAGGTTCTTCAAGGTAGATATAAATGCCGTGAGCTCATCGAGGAGCTAAAGTCAAATTTCACGGTACTCAAGAGCGCCAAAGGGAAAATTACGAAGAAAATAGAGCGAACTAAGCAGCAGCAAATAAACGCTACACGCTGCGCGAATGACGTAAACCATATGATTAACATAATATTTTTTTACTCATTAGTTGTGCTTTAGATGAAACTGCTGGAATCGTGTTTGAAGAAATTGAGTGCGAACGTTGTTGGTACGCTTTTAGATTTCCTTAATAAAGAACTGGCTAGATTGCATAAGGAGAGGGCATGTCACGCGATGACTCTTTTGGTGAATCGGGAAAGGATTAAAAGGGAAGCGGCGGAGGCCGGCAAAAGACAGAAAGAGTTGCGTAGAAGAAAGGAGCACGACGAAATATTTAAGCAAGTCAGATTACACGATTTTATTTCGAATTTTCTTCTTTTAATTTCATTGAACATTTATGTTTCAAGACCATTAAAATCCATCAAGAAACGGTGGATTTGTATCTGCAAGATATAATCACGGAGGGAATGGATTTTACGTCCAAGGAAGAAGCCAAACGATACGTGGATAATTTGGCACATCAAATTGACGAACAAAGTCGAAAAATTGAAACTGGGTAAATTATTAATCAAATTACAGGATTCCTTCATAATTATTGCCTTATTTTAATTCTACTGAAGATAATTTATCGAACAAAATATTGTTGCAGTGACCTAATGGAGAAAGCTGACTACATTGCTGAGCTGGTGCATCACTTTGTTATACCTGAAGTTGAGAAGAAAATGGTAGCCCAAAAGAACAAAGCTAAACAAATGCACAATCTTAAAGAGGCGCATGAGACGATTTATGGAAATATAGAAACAATGCATCCCTTGAAACATGGTAAATATGGCATTCAGATTTATACATTTATGAGAAGCTTTCATATATTATAATTTTATTTCTTATTACTAATTGAATTTATATATTTTTTTTATAGATAAACACAAGCAATCAGGTAGCAGCAAGTCATCAGGTTTGTTTTAATAACTATTGTTTTCTATATAATGCTGCACAGTTTATAGTTTACTAATTACGGATAATGCGAATGCAACATTATTTGAAAACTAAATTTATTATGAAACATATAATTAATTATTATTTTTTCCAGAGACTGAAATCTACCGCGAAAGAATTAGCAATATCAAAGCGACGATGGCAGTGAATGAAGTCACTAGTCTACTAAATGAATTGGTGTCGCTTCCTCCCAAATTAGAAGCTTTACGTAAGATGAAACCGTGCTTCGCTTATAGTTTAGAGTCTATTGAAGGTGGAGAAGGAGAAGACGGGAAAGACAAAGAAGAAATTTTAGGAATTTTACATTAATAATCAAGCGAATTAAGTCACGTAAATTATTAAGATGTAAGAACGAAACTTGTTATGAACGTTGCTTTTTCAATTATTCAAATTATCTTAGAACGTTAATAAATATGTAAATTAATTAAATTTGTTACAAACTTTAATATTAAATAAATGCTTTAACAGTTAATTATTAAATTTGAAATAATTAATTTTGATCAAGTGAGTTAAAAATCTGACATTAAAGCTGTATTCTATGTCAAGTACACGTTTCAATCATATCTCTGCAATTTATAACTTTATATACTAAATACTTGAAAATAGAAATCAACGCAAAATGTCGTCCATAATGAAAGCAGGCAGACCTAACGATTATATGTATGGTATTGTTTCTATTTTAATAATTTTTTCGTATTGTAATGTAGTTGAAATTAAAGATTCTGCGTTTGTCCTGTCCGGTCCTAAGGATTACTACAAACATGCAGTGAACTCGAGAATAGCGCAGGCGAAATATGTAATGATAATCAGAAATGTAAAGTGAATTAATATTATGAACTTGTTTGTTCTTAGGCAGTTTGTCCCATCTTTCCAACAATGTTTTCCGATATGAAGAATTACCCCAGGAAGCAATACGTGATGAGAAGGACTGGATCCATAGCACCGTACACAGATAAAACGCACGACGGTAAAACCTTGAGAAAGAGTATACTTTCAGGAACCGACCGATATAAATATTATCATAAGTATTGGAGATGAAGATACCAAGAACATATTAAATGATTGCGCAATTTTAGTCCGGTGGTATCGGAGGCTACTATAAGTACAGTTCCTAAACTGGATGTGAGTTGTTTCTATGAGATCGATGCAGAGAAAGACCAGTCCCAGGATCAACCGAAGGTTGATAACACGAAGAAAAACGTGAAAGTTCAAACGGTGTACAGGGCGACTTCGGCGCAGACCTCGCCTTGGGAGCCGGATTACACGATAGCCGAAGGAGATCCTGAATTGCTTAAATTGGAATTTCTGAAATGGGGTGATTAACTGTAATTAATTTTATTGATTATCAATCATTTTCAACATTGTCTTAAAGGTTGCGGTTTACCAGTGGGCGTACATGAAGTGTCTTTGATCGAAAGGGCAAGGATGAAACGGGCTTGGGAGAAATCCATGGGACCTATAACCGACCAGAAGGGTTTTAATGCTAGGAAAGGAATAATCGAGGAAATCGAGAGGAATCAGTGGCTTTTTCGTGAACAGGTGATGAGTTTCATTAATTAAAGCGTAAGCTAAATTCGAAGTTACTAGGAGATTCAAGATATACAAAATTTGCGGATGGAGTTGCTGGAGCAGATGCTCAACGAGATACAGCAAAAGTCCAAGTGCCGGAACGAGAAGAAAATGCGAATGTTCTGCGATACTAAACTGAAAGAGAAGCAAGAGAAATTGTCGAAGTTACACAAAAATTGCAATCGAGGTAACAAATCGTACGTCATATTTTTATTTAAGATTATATAATTTTGTTTTGGATTTTTAGAAAAAAGACGACTCGAGTTTAATTACAAAGGGATTTTATCGAAATACGGACACGTTAATGTGTTTGATGAGCATGCCGACTACAAATCGGAATTGTATGTGCCGTTGATAAGGCACGGAACTAATCCGAAATACGCTCATCAAATCATAACAGAATCCATCATGAAATATAAGCCGCAGTATTACAGCGTGGAGGTGTACGACACGATGCCCGACGGATTGGTCGATTGTCCTAAAATCAAGAATGTTAAACTTCCTGGTACAAGATTGTGCATACGAGAAACCAAGTGGACGACTCCTGTTTTGAAGAAGTTACATATGGAACTTAAGAGTACGCTTTTATTCTTAATGTGATTGGATTTTGTTTTTGAATAATAGTATTTAAAGATTTGGGCACGGAGGAGAAGAAACTGATATCGCTGCGTGTTAGGATCGAGGAGAAAGTCGAAGGATTACCAACGCCCGAGATCGAAGATTACGATGATGACGTTGAGGCTCTATATCAGCACAGCGTTTTTCTCCAGAAAGTGTTAAGAGGAAGAGCTGCTCAGATTTCGGTGAGAGGTCTTATTTTTGGAAAGAGATCATTGATTAGTTTGCTCAGATCTTTCAAGGTAGAGATCGATGCCGTGAGTTGATTGAAGAACTTAGATGCAATTTCGCGTTGCTCAAGAGCAACAAAAAGAAGATCACTAAGAAAATTGAGCAGACAAAGCAGGAACAGATTGATGCGACACGGTGCACTGCTAAGGTATCTGTGCAAAATTGTAATTACGGTTGTGATTTATGTGTTTGTCTTAGATGAAACTGCTGGAAACTAATTTGAAGAAGTTGAGCTCCATCGTCATTGGAACACTTCTAGACTACTTGAACAAAGAATTAAACAGATTACATAAGGAGAGAGCATGCCACGCGATGGCTCTTCTGGTGGAGAGGGAAAGGATTAAAAGAGAAGCAGCCGAAGCTGGGAGAAGACAACAGGAGCTTCGTAGAAGGAAGGAGCACGATGAAATGTTTAAACAAGTATAAAGCAATATATGAAAGTTGTGATTAAATTTAATACATTTTTTCAAGACGATAAAAATACATCAAGAAACCGTGGATCTATATTTGCAAGATATAATTACGGAGGGAATGGATTTCGCGTCCAAAGAAGAAGCAAAGTCTTACGTTGATAATTTGGCACATAAAGTGGACATAAGGAACAAAGATATTGAATTATCTGGGTATCAATTCTTCATATACTTAACATGAAATATGTATACCCAAATGTTACAATTTACATTTGTGCAATCATTCTTTTCATATGAATCTGCGAAGAGACGTATGTTAATAAAGTTTGTTTTAGTGACATCTTGGAGAAGGAAGAATACATTGCAGATTTGATGCATCACTTTGTAATACCTGAAGTGGAGAAGACAATAGTGCGGGATAGATACAAACTCAAGCAGAAAAGTCATCTGAAAGCGGCACACGAGTCTATTTATGGGAAGATGGAGACAATGCCTCGATACAAAACTGGTAATTATATATCTTTAGTATTATTATGCTTAATACCTAATTTATATTTATTTGCTTCATATTCACATAATATTTCATAATGTAGGAAATGAACAGTAATTATTATGGTACTAAAGTACTACTTGTTTTATAATATTTACAGATCAGGAGGATCATACAAAGAGCAGCACGTCAACAGGTATATATTAAAAATTGTTGTATGTGCAACTTGGCAAATTACTTATACTTGTCACAAGTACTTGAATTACTTGCCAAAATCAAGCAAGTATCGATTATTTTGCTATAGTAATCTACAAAATTTTCGATATTATGTATTCTATTATGATTATTTCAATTAACAGAGACCGAGACGTACCGTGAAAGGCTAAGTACTTATAAGGTATCGATGGCAATGCAAGAAGTCAGGGATATTCTGAGCGAGCTGATCACCATTCCACCAAAGTTAGAAGCATTGCGTAGTTTGAGGCCGTGCGCAGTTCCAAGCATAGAGTCAATTGATGACGGCGAAGAAGGATTGGGCGAGGAAGAGAAAATTGAATGAACTGTCCATTTTGAGAACTCAAAAGGATAAAATGTTATGACTATATAATCGATATTCCTATCGACACAATAAAACAGCAATAACTGACGGATACAATATTATTGATTTATTCTATACATTTCTCAGCTCATAAATCTGTATATAAGCTTCGGTTAATGTGATCATCTGAGGAAGGATGTCGATTACATGCAGATCCTGCATTTCGTACCATTTTCCTGTGCTTTTCTGCAAAATGTGCACTCTGTAAGTTCCCTTGTCTGGTTCCCCGTCGTGAACGATGTTCGCAACCAAATCATATATTGTATTCTTATGCTTTTCTTTATTTTCAGGCGTCAAGAACTCGCCAATATCGACATTCCTAAAACGTTAACATTTCAGCAAATGCAAATATACACATCAATATATACTCACTTCACTGGGAAGTTGACAATGGTAGGATTCTTTTCCACGTAGAAAGTGTTCTTGGTGAATCGTTTGATGTACAATATCAGATAGGGCGGAAGCTGCGTAATTTCGAATCGTTTCATGAAATTCTCTTTGTACGTTTTGTACTCTTTTTCCGTTTGTCCGTTGAATTTCGTCAGTAATTGATATAAATTAACCTAAGAACGAAATCATTAATATCTTATAAAAGATTTCACGTTCATAAATTGATAATAATTGTAAATTTACCTGAGGAATAATGTTTTCTCGGAATTCATCAATGAAGAGCGGTGGAGGTGGCAGATCGCAGGTCAAATACAAGAACGGCGATTCCGTCACCGTCTCCTGATATTCAGGTGTTGCCAGCAAAGTTCTCTTCTGTTTATCATCCAATTCGGTGGGCGGTATTTTCCTGCTGTAAATCTTCATCGATCCCAGGAAAGATCTGTAGATGATCGAACTTTTTCGTTTCTTATTACCGTTCAAAGCTCGGTGCAGTTCGTTTAGGAACCAGGACAAGAAATCAATTGGATCACCTATATAAAAAAAAGACGAGAATTAATAAGATTTCAATACGGAATATTTACTAATCATTTACCTTGTTCCGTGAATTGAAACTTTTTACGACTCCACAAGACGACTGCTTGAAGCATTTCGTGAGGCGATACATGCACTTTAAAGTTTCTCGGATTCCACAACTTCCTCATGAGCTCCCCAAACCTGGTCACCAATAAGTAAGTGGAATCACCTGGAGGTCTTTTAACATTGCTGTAGCTCTCTTCCCTCAAAAAATAATCCCTCAATGGTTTTACATGAGACAAAGCCTAAAAATGAATCAAATATTGATCAATTTCACTTTATTTAATAGTTTTTCAATTACCTGCAAGACAACGTTGCAATAATCATTGGCTTTGATGTTATTCAATCCGACAATCCCAGGTGTGTAGAGACTACCATCAATGGCCCTAGTTAATTTTGAGCTTACATCCAACATCTTTATTTGATCCTCAGTGAAAATGGGATTTAATAAATATTTAATATCATCCAAAGATGAATCTAAAATAGATCAAGTTTTAATAACTAATTTATATACAATTTGGAAAACTCACCAATGATTTCATAGTTATCAGGTAGACAGTAGAACTTTAATGTGTGCAAATTCAAAAAGACATGATGACTTTCAGCCACTGAATGTGTGTATGCATGTGTGTTTGTTCCTCTACCTTGAAAGTATTTTCCGCAGACAAGGCAAGCATACACATTTATCCTGGTTAAAGACACTGAGCAGAGCTTCTCAAAATCAAAGTCCAGGAACTGCCGATTGATTGTATCCAAGTATGGGCATAATCTGTAGTTACCTAATTTCAATCAAATTACTAACTAAACAATTTTCTTTAAAGCAAAGATACTCACTTTCTTTCTTTATATTTTTAACGTCGATTTCATCTTTAACATCTGTAAACACTATTTAATGTTAATACTAAATCTCAATTATAATGAACATTTACCTATAGTCTCTTTGCTTTCGTCCGGTTCAATTTTGACCTTTTTGGCTAAAGGCTCTTCACTTTCCATGGTGAATGCTATAAAACACTATTGCAACAATTAACTTCTTAAAGAATACCTTAATTCAATAGTCGTAAATATTACGATTTATAATTGTAGGTTAACTTATGTGTTGAGTAAATACACAACAGATAAGTTTACAAGAAATATCGCCATCTAGCGTTCAATTGGATAGTTGGTTGAACGCTTTGATTTATATGAATATGTATATGTTAATAATTAATTTATTGATGATCCAAAATTCCCAATATAACTACAAATTACTTATTTATGTTTCATTGAAATTATATTTGTTAATAACTACAATATTTTAATAATTAAAAAAGAGGAAAATAGTTGAAATTAGTTTGCATATTTAAATATAATCTAGGAGAATATTAATTTTGTTTGAGAAAAACTTATATACAATTCTTTGTTTTAAAAAACTCATTGTTAAGTTATGTTAAAATTTTTACATAAATACTTATTTAATTTCAATTATATTTTTAAAATGCGTTTGTTAATTCATTCTTTTTGATTCTTAACTTTTGATTGTTTTATAGAAATACATATTTTCATTTTTTTTGGTAAAAGTTATGTGTAAGTTATTTTTGTGCATAAAGCTATCGACTGGGAGCGTAGCGCACTCCTGTAATCCTTGTGATTGGGAGGTCGGGTTTAGAGGATGGTTTGAGGTCGGGAGTCCTGGTGCAGGGTGTTCCAACGTTGACTAGGTGTCCA